TGACGCATTCTGAGGTGAGGCAGATCTCATCTGTGCCTCACCTCACCCCACAGTAACTGGCTTGAGCGCGCTCACAAAATAAGTGCCCGCGCTAAATTAGTGCCCGCGCTCCAGCAAGTTACTGTGGGGGCTTACGAGAGGCAGAGCTCGTCCCTGCCTCACTTCTCATCGCTCCCGTAGCGGAGCTCGGCAAATTTGCTGATTTTTACTATAAAATGCGATTGGAATCATACAGAAATCACATTTACACAAGATCAGTGGAGACATTTTATTATTATTACTATTTAGTTTTTCTTTAATTGTTTTTCCGTTACATTGGAGTATGACAGGTGAGGCTCTGCCTCCCCTGCCTCCCCTGACTGCACGTCGCTGCGAATAATGTACTTCATTTGAATGTAATAATTATGTTGGTTGTTGTTTGTGGAAGCGCATCATGTATTGAAAAATTAATCTGAACTTTTCACACCGCTACAATTATAAACTGAAGCAATATAAAAATGAGCCCCATTAACTGAGTTTTAAACATCACTTTAAATGGAAGATCCCCATAGCCCCCACCCACCCTATGATCGGATCGGCGATCGGTATCGTCCGATATTGATTCCGGTGATCGGCGATCGGCCCCAAAAACCCTAATCGGAGCATCCCTACTCTGAATATAATATGATGGCAAGTCAATATTCCGAAACCCCAATAGTCTGAGAGCCAGTTATCGCGAAAACCAACTCCCATTAATCAACAAATACACAAATACTCTCCCTGCCGAAGCACAGAGCCCTAACCATTCCAATCTGCCACTGATTGGCTAGTACACCTTGCCTTGGTTTGTCTGATGGGGATGGTTATGTTTATAATAAGAATATAGTTGTGGGCCAATCAGAGGCAGAGTAGGGTGGGTTATTCCTACAGTGTCATCCTTCTTCATATCAGAAAGCTGTATGGTTTATTGCCATTCCAACAGGATTAAGTAATATATGTTTCCAGGTGGTAGCAATATCATTTTCTCATTCCTCTAACTTAATAACATTTGATTCTGGCTGTAGGTCTACCTGGAAGGAAACATCTCTGCATGAAATCTTGTTGTCAATTGAGTACAATAAAAGTTATTTAAGGGCAGTTAAATTAAATATTTTCCTAAACTCCTAAATGATCTGAGAAATGTGGGATAACTGGAAATCTCTCACATATCTTCTGGGAAATCCAGTACTGTAGGGATTTTAGCAAGATGTAAAAAAAGCAATTGAAATAAAAATGAAAGCAAGTTATGTTGTTTAATATGAAAGAGCCACATTAAAGCTGAGGGCCACCATAGATGTAAGAACAGAGTACATGATAGATACTGCTGGTCCTGTGAAGAGGGTCTCCTGTTGGCTGTACTTCACTGTCTAAATGCGGGGGGGGGGGGGGGACAACAACAACAGGTGAACATGGAAGATGGAAAAAAAGAAAGAATGAAAAGCCCTCCGTGAAGGTGTCACATGATATGTTACTAACATTAGATTACATTAGATATACTTCATTATAAAATCTAAATTAAATCAAATAAATAGTCTATTTGTCTAATCTTACCTGTGGGAATAGACAACAAGTCTGCTCCTCTGCTCCACACTGACTCTGAATATATATAATCAGTGTTCACACGCTGCTACAAGCACATGGTCATACACACACACACACACACACACACACACACACACACACGTGCAAACATGCAAAAAACACTTTCAACTTCCTGATTCTGCGGCCCTCTGGACTGATTTCACTCTCATGCATAATGCATGAGCTAAATGCTTAAGTTGAATTATTAGGATGTTTTATTCAGCGAGGGCCTCTTCTCCCCGTTAAGGATGGCTGGTTCTGGGGTGGAGGCGCCGAAGCACTCGGGCACTGTGGAACATGATTTGGATTAATTAGTAATGGTGAGTGTAAGGTGCAGGAGATGTAGCATTAATGCAGACCGGCTGAGGGCACGGTGCTCACAGCTGCTTCCTCCTATCTGCCACAGCAGAGAGCAGGCAGGTTCACGGTGTAATCCTCAGGTCAGCGAGCCCCCGGACCACAGCCTCGTCTCTGAAGAGACCCCATATAAGCCACATTTCATTAGACACAGACAAATGCATGGACTGTACTTCAGAGACTCTCATCAATGATTTTAATAAGTACATTTTTAAATGACCTTTCTTATCATCTGTCCTTGGTGTCAGGGAAGCTTTAAAATGATTTAGGCCCAATTCCAGACCGCTCCTACCCACTCCCTCTCCCTGAGGGAGTGAACTCCGTCTGCAGTCACACTCACAGCTAAATGAGGCTCCTCCCTTCCAGGTGGAGGGTGTAAATACAGTGGCAAGCTTTGGGAGGAATCCCTTCTCTCCGGCTGAAACAGGAAATCTGATGTTTTTAGGCTGCTTGGACTATGAAACAGGCGCTTTAAATATACAAAACGTTATATTCAAATGCAAACGTTTACCGTACTATAGACTAGACACGGGTATATGATCCTAAGTAAAAAAAGAAGTACGAGGTAACAGGAAGTTGTTAACTTGTGTATGAAGATATTTAATGTCTCTTGTTTTGCGCAGTTTACCAGTAGGCTAAATGTTTGCAGTGAACTGTTTGTAAAAAAGCATGTTTCATGACGGACAACAAAGCGTTGGGTCAGGGCTTGATGAACCCACTCCCCCCTTAGAAATGAATAATGATCAATATGCTGTCAGTCCACCAAATACATTCATGGCTGTGGTGTGATGGCTGTGTGTGTGTGTGTGTGTGTGTGTGTGTGTGTGTGTGTGTGTGTGTGTGTGTGTGTGTGTGTGTGTGTGTGTGTGTGTGTGTGTGTGTGTGTGTGTGTGTGTGTGTGTGTGTGTGTGTGTGTGTGTGTGTGTGTGTGTGTGTGTGTGTGTGTGTGTGTGTGTGTGTGTGTGTGTGTGTGTGTGTGTGTGTGTGTGTGTTTGGCCTAGCATTACTATCCTTGTGGGGACCTAAATCTGTTTACACAGTCACGTGTGGGGACTGGCTTCCCTTATGGGGACAAAATGGAGGTCCCCATATGGGGAATCATTAATTTTAGGGTGAAGACTTGGTTATGGTTAGGGTAAGGGTTAGGGTTAGGCATGTGTTGGTTATGGTTTGGATAAGTCTCCAGGAAATGCATGTAAGTCAATGTAATGTCCCCTGAAGTAATGTATACATGGTATGTGTGTGTGTGTGTGTGTGTGGGTGTGTGTGTGTGTGTGTTGGTGCGGCCAGATTATGAGGACAATTCGCATGGATACACACCAGCATTATAAGGACATTTCGACTTGTGAAGATAAAACTGGTGTCCTCACAAGTCGCGCAGTGTAGCACTTATCAACATGTAAATAAAACCCTCCCGCTTTTTCTCGGTATGTCCTAATAAACCGCCTACACCTGATTTCTAGTGTATATTTGTGTGTGCTCATTGTGTATAAAACGCTCGTACAGCCGATTCATGATATTGCCGTTTCATACACATTTCCCTCTCTTTTTACACAAAATAAGCGCTTTTCATTGGCTGGACACACCTGCTCACTGATTGGCGGCTAAAGACTCAATCAGGCAGGTTCTCATCAGGGATTGGCCAGCAGTCATCACGTGGGCAGGTTCTCATCAGGGAGTGGTCTTTCAGTATTCGGTCATTGACTCACCAAGAAACAGTAGCAGGAGTACATGGCTGAAGACATTGCTGATGGCAAAGTGGACTTTTTTTTCAAAACTGGTAAGTGATATTTTTATCATGTATTTTAAACAAAATATAAGGATTTAAATGTTTGTTTGGTGACTAGCTACAACCTAGCATCAAAACTTCAGCTGTTCGTTTATGACTTTGTTTGTCCGGCTCAGTGTATCGCCACGAGGCATACTGTTTGGTGGCTAGCTACAACCTAGCATCAAAACTTCAGCTGTTCGTTTTCCGGCTCAGTGCATCGCCACGAGGCATGCTCCCCATCGCGTTTCGTGTGTTTAAAAAAAAGCAATAGGATGAAGTTAGTTAGTAAGTTAATCCTACCAAGACACTGCATTTTACTGGAAACGTTACATTAACCTTTAGCTCTGCTGTCAGTTAGCACAGTTTAGCTTAGCATCAACCACATGGTAATGACTTCTGCTTTACAACTGAATTAAATGCAATGTGATATTAAAAGGCTGACTATTTATGCCCACTCATGTGTGTTGATTACTAGCTATAATAATCGTCTTAAAAATGCTGGTAAGACAGATGTGTGCTGTGTGTTACTGTGTAGCCCTCACACCCGTGCAGAGGGCAGAGGGCAGCCGTCATGCGGTTTCAACGGAGCGGCTCCTCAGTGCATGATCTGTGCATGCATGGAGGAGGGGACTACCGTGTTTTGCAAATGAAACGTGCAGAGTTTTATGCACCTGAAGGTTTCATGCAGACGTAGCTGTTGACTGTAGGTGCACTGCCGTCAGAGCACAACAGGAGTGGAGTGCACCAGCTGGGCGTAAAAAAGGAGGTCTTAACTCTAAGGTCTGGCATAGCTACGTCCAACTTATGGCGCATTTCCACTACAGCGCGGAGCTCGCTTTAAGCGTGCCGTGCCCGGCCCGTTTTTGGTTGCATTTCCACTTGGCGTAGTTCCGGCTAGTGGGTACTATTTTACAGTTTTTCTGGCCCCATAAAATCGAGGTTCTTTCCGGGCCAACAACCAGGCTGAGTCGGGCTGATGTAGAGAGAGAATCGCTGGCAAGGGGGATACAACTACAACAAAATGAACATATTTGACCGTGATTTAATTGTAATACACGTTTCAAAATGATGCCGAATTAACAACATACTGATACCGGTTAGTAAAAACCATGAATTAATGCTTTGACAAGTCTGCAGACAGACGGCAGGCAAAAAAACTTTTAAAATGCGTGTTTTCTAAATGGAGATGCTTTTTACCCCAAGAGATGTTATTGTTAACCATGCTTTGGTATATTAAACTTAGCCTGTTCTCTGTTTTATTTTTTAGCAATAGCAAGGATGACACAAAGGAGCAGGAGAAAGACTCCTGAACAGGATGCAATAGACCATATAATTCTGGGCAGAGACAAACCCTTCCTAGAGGCCAGGTTCATCAACACGTTTAAAGGTAAGCTATTTATCTCATACAGTATGTAGTATCAAAGACCGTATAGCATTGTTTCATCAATATGGTCGAACTGGGCACACAGGGAACCCTGACCTTTTAGTCATTGCTCTTAGGCCATCAGCCTCACGTATTTTCAACAATGTACGTTTTCAGGAAATGTCTTTAAAATGTGTGCTCCTCTCATTGAAAAACAACACTGTATACCAAATCAATTGTGTCCTAAACTGCCAGACACCCGCTGTGTTTAGAGATGCTTTGACTACACTTTTGGGGAGGTTTCACAGAGCCTCTCCTCAGTGCGAGGGTTTTTTGGCAGGGTTAGCAAACTACCCGGCCCTTATTATTATATCATGAAGCCTTTTTAACCATGCATATGATCATTTATTGAAATCAAATGTGTACAACAGAACTTATGATAGCACAACATTGTCTATCCTCTCAATGTAGCCTCGTAATTATGACAGTGCACAATAATGGTACTTTTAACTTTAAAATATAACATTTGTGTTGACATTTTACGTTTTATTTTGTATATGTTTATACATATGGCAACAAAAAGTACTATTGCTTTACAAGTATTTTCTAATATGTTGCAACATCTAATCTGAACATTAGATGGAACATGCTGATTAAAACAGTGCTCTGATTATTTACAATGAAATTCAATATAAAATAATGTGTCACTTCATACCAGTAAATAATCGTGAACTCACCCCTGGATATAGTCAAATCACAGCTACCCTCAACCCTAGCAGTGTTGGCATCACTATGTTAAGCGTTTCAAAGTACTGTTAACCAACACCTTTTGCATATCACTGTGGAGCTTTATTGGAGAAAGGAGTGCGTGCTGATCAAACAATTTGACTCCGTATTTACCTGCAAGGCACTTTACATGTCAGAGGCTAACTTGGATGAAGCTTATGTGTGGATAGCAGTGTTAGGCATCTAACACACTCATGGCACATATTTACAAATAATTGGGTATAGGTAAATGTTTAATGTTAATGCATTTTCTTTGCTATTGTAGGACGTGGTGTTTTTACACGGGAATATATTGCACCGTCAACTTTTGTGGTGGAGTACCGTGGAATATTGGGTGTAAGTGAAGATCTAGATGTCAAAAATAACATCTTCTTATTCGATTTCATCTGGTCTGGAATGCACTTTTGGTGAGTTTGCTGCTTATTGATTACCTCAAATGGATAATTGACCATTACCAGATTTATGTGTTTCCTAGTGACTTCTTGTATGAATTCAGTGCTTTTCTGTCATGATACATGATGTTGTATCTGGACTATTTGTCTTGCAGTATTAATGCTTCAAAAGAGGATGGAACACTTGGACGTCTTGCAAATGATAATCACAGGAATCCAAACTGCAGAGTGAAAAAAATCGTTGTCAAGGGAACCCCACACTTGTGCCTATTTTCTGTAAAGGAAATATTCCCAGAGGAGAAGATAACTTACAACTATGGGGATTCTGCTTGGCCCTGGCGCTTAAAGGTGAGGTTATGTTCTCTTTAGGACATTGCTTAACTGACAGGGAAAAAGTGTTGCATTGTTCTCCATGCTCCTAGTACTAGACTCCTTGTACTAGGATGGGTTAAAAGCAGAGGCCAAATTTCACTGTGTGTGCTGTGTGCTCTGCATGTGTGACCATTAAAGAGGGTTTCATCCCTCCCTATTCTTCTATTCTTCTATGGTACTACCACTCAGCTCAGTTAAGCAGATTTAATTTATTTCAGCAAAAAATGTGTAGGCCTACTGTAGGGACAGCAGTCCTTGTAAGGACAGAGGATTTTAAAACCTGTTGACATGACTAGACATTAGATCATTGCCTTCATCCAGCATGTGCACACCTCCATAACTGTTAAACCTTTGCAGCACACACGTCAGATCAAACCACTACCACGGTGACAACAATGTCTTTTGTTTGTGCTACCATTTCAGGCTCCCCGGGAAGTAGCTTCTAACCCTGAGCCCGAGAGAGATCCTCCGTTGTCCCCACGAACCAAAATGGCAAGTTGTACTTCATATCACAATCACTTTCTGTGTTGGGCTGTAGAGGGAAACAATACATGTACACTGGGCCTGTGACAGTATTGTACTTTTCTTAATGCTGTGAAAGATTAGTCACATTCCAGAAACTGAAACATATGTGTCTCTATATTATTTAAGCCATAGTTTGTCTACTGTTATTTACTGCACCATGAAAAGATAAATGCTCAGAGTAAGAGTTAGTAGTCGTATTTGGAACAGAGGAGCAGCGCTACCATGGCATTCATGAAACAAAATGAGGATACCAACTTGTAATATGGTTAAAATGACAGTCCTACTGTGCTAATCAGCTTTCTTCCTGGGATGAGATATGCTGATGGCTGCTGCACACATAGCATGCTAACAGTCAATGTGTTAGTAGATTTTTTATCAATTATTGCTCTGTGATAAATTGCTTTTAGGCCCCAACATGTTATTTAGGGGCTAATAATGTCTTTTTATTTTCATTACTGGCTAATGAATTGGATAAAGTCGTGTTAATGTTCAGATGTGTGTCCCATTGATAGATTAATGGAAATGAGTCGATAATGTTTTAAAGTCGTGCCTATCTTTCACTTATTTACAGGAAGTATGTGGTGGGACACGAGAGGCTGGGACCGAACTTCATACAACTACAAACGTATCAGGGGACAAGATGGTAAGTTTCTATGTATTGTTTTTCCATACATTGTTGCGTGTCGCTGACTGGAATAGATTGAAGCTGTTTTACCAGGACTATTGTCTTGGTAAGGGGGCTCCGTTTCCCCATACTTTGGGTCACATTGAAACGGGTTAAATGTTATACTACACAGAAAGATGAAGGCCGTCTGGTCACAGGGTGTCTTGTAGGCACAGCAGTCCTTGTAAGGACAGAGGATTTTAAAACCTGTTGACATGACTAGACATTAGATCATTGCCTTCATCCAGCATGTGCACACCTCCATAACTGTTAAACCTTTGCAGCACACACGTCAGATCAAACCACTACCACGGTGACAACAATGTCTTTTGTTTGTGCTACCATTTCAGGCTCCCCGGGAAGTAGCTTCTAACCCTGAGCCCGAGAGAGAACCACCGTCCTCCCCACAAACCAAAATGGCAAGTTGTACTTCATAATACTCTATCACCATTGTTTTTTCACACACTGGTAAAGGGAGGAATCTTTGTCACATATATGGCAAACAAGTTGGATATCTGTCAGCTTGTTAGCGTTGATGACGCCTTGACCTAAGATACACAATTTAGGCAGGACATACTTTCAATACTACTTCAACTGCTCTTAGTCAGATGCTAATAAGAGTTTTTCAAAATGAAGAGTACAATTTGTGTTTTTTATAAAATAAGGTGTCCAAGCAGACAACCTTATTGTTTTTCATTGTCATAAGGATTATGTCCTAAAAGTATCTGGGTCACATTTCACACTCAAACACACTTAAAATAACATATATATTTATTTTGTTTATGTTCAATTTTTGATCCACAGTTTCATCATGAACTCACCAGTGCAGTTATTTCCTCTTTGGATAATTGTCATGATTGCAGAGGACCTGTCTCAAGCCTCAAATGGATTGGTTTTACGTGTAAATGTAAGTACCTGTCAAACAACACCGTTTTATTTTTTACTCTGAGATGATAAACATTTCGATAAAACAGACTTAATTTCAAATACTTAACTTAGATTCTAAATGACTTACTTTCTTCTTTGTTATATAGTGAAATGCACAGTGATTAAATGTTAAAATAATGCTCAAGAAATGTTACCAGTACATTTTTCTTGTGTAATTGTGTTTTTAGTATGTTCAACTTCATGGCACAAAACCTGCTTCATCAAGAACAACGAGTCACCGGTACGTAATGTGTTTATATAAATATCTGATTTCTTTGGATAATGAAAAAAATACAAACTTGGTGTTCCTTTATTTTTTTTTTAAAGATGAAGGACATCTGCCTTTCCAGTAATGAAGGTTCCGTCAGTGATAAAGACTACATTCCTGAAACGGCGTCTAGCAGCGATGGATCCAGCGTCGATGAAGACTGCCCACCTGACTCTGAAGCAAATACTGATTGGGATCATCTCATTGCCACCATCAGGGATTCAAAGCCACCCCATTGTAAGACTGCACCAACTGTGTTAGGATTATGTTTTAAACAGGACCCAGGCGCAGGCAATGACTGAAGAGGTTTAAATGGTTTATTGTTCGGAGACTCAGGCAGGTTTGGAGACTATGGAGGTCCGGAGTGGAGGTAGGCAGTTCAGGCTGGACTGAGAACAGGGCAGGCAGGTATGGTGAAGGAAGAAGCAGGCAGGTTGGCTGGCAGCTCTGGTGGTCGATGGCTGAGGGATCGCACTGGAAGCACAAGGAGAAACTAATTACAAAAAGTACAGAATAACACGCAGACAGGATAACTGAATTGAGCAGCCAGGAGGATGCAATACCACTGGTGTAGAAAACAATCTGGCGGTGAGTTGCTGGGAGACTGGAGTAGATATGCTGTGTCCTGATTGTATTGATGAGGGACAGCTGAGTCGGTCGGCCAGGTGAGTGCATTCAGGCTGCTGCCTGCAAGGGAAACCACACCCCCTCCACACACACACACAGGGGAACAAACAGGGACACACAGGGACACAGTTTGGGCCGTGACAAACTGTCTCTACAAAGAACTATGTTGAACACCAAGACACGGCTGCTACTACCTCTGACAAATTCCAACTTCATGAAGATTTCATCCCTGATATGGCATCCAGTTCTGAAACAATTGAGAGTGTTGCAAATCCCAAAGACTCTTCTTGCACCCTCAAAAATTACTGTTATGTTTGCAGTAAACCTCAATCTAAGATTGCTCGTCACTTTAAGAAGCATGAGAAAGAACAACCTGAAATTGCTGAAGCATTTATGTTCCCTAAACATTCTAAAGAGAGAAAACGGTTACTAGAATAGCTGCGAAACAAAGGTAATTACCAACATAACCAAGAGACAATGCAGAATCAAAGCGGACCACTGAAACTAAAACGAACACCACGAAGATCAAATGTCTCACTGGATGCCAAAAGATATGTGCACTGTGTATATTGTAAAGGCATGTTTGTCCGCAAAGAACTTTGGCGCCACATGCGTAGATGTCCTTCAAAGACCATCTCAGACACTGAAGCAACTGGGAGGGCCAAAGTCCTAGTTCTGGCTGATATTGCGGAGTCAACTTTCTCCCAAGCAATTTCTCCTGTTTTGTGGAAGATCCTTGGAAATATGAAGCAAGATGAAGTAACATCAGTTTCACGGAATGATTTCCTCATACTGCAACTGGCTCAGTCACTCTACAATAAACATGGTAATGATTCGACAACATTTGAATATATCAGACAGAAAGTCCGTGAAATGGGCAGGCTCTTAATGAGCTTGAGAAGCAAATGTTCCTTATTCAGTTTTGAAGATGCTGTAAAACCAAACAACTTTTACAAAGTTATTGAGGCAGTCAGAGATGTCGCTGGTTACGATGAGGAGAAGCACTGCTACCACATACCAAGTCTGGCTCTGAAATTAGGACATTCACTCAAGAAGATTGGCAGTATTATTCTATGTAGAGCCATTGCTGCAGAAGATGAATTGATGATCAAAGCATCAGAGCGTTTCACACAACTGTGCACTAAAGAATGGAATGAATTTATCTCCCACACTGCTCTTGCTACTTTGACCAAGTCGAAGTTTAACAAACCGTGTACAATACCTTTTACAAAGGATGTGCAGCTCCTCCACCAGTACCTGGAGAAGAAATCAGCTACTGCTATGGAGAACCTTCAAAAGAATGAGACTTCACAGAGTTATGCAGAACTAGCCAGAGTTACACTAGCTCAAATCATTATCTTCAACAGACGCCGTGCAGGAGAGGTCTCAAAAATGACACTTGAAGCATTCATGAAAAGAGACCAGACTGAGCTTCATGAGGACATTGCTGTTGGCCTCTCGCCATTCGAACAAAAGCTGGCCAAGCATTTCAGTAGGGTAGAAATAATGGGCAAAAGAGGAAGGAAAGTTGCCATTTTGTTAAACCCTGAAGTTGTCAGTGCAACAACACTCCTTGCTGACAAAAGAGACTTGTGTAATGTGCACAAGGACAACCCTTTCCTATTTGGAAGATCACAGTGCCCCTCCACCAGCTTCTACAGGGGACAGGACTGCATCAGGCTTTTTGCACGTCAGTGTGGTGCAAAACATCCGGGGTATCTCAGGTCTACACAACTTCGCAAGCATGTTGCAACATTGTCCCAGATTCTTAACCTTAAGAACAATGAGCTTGACCAACTAGCCAACTTCTTGGGCCATGACATACGGGTACATCGAGACTTTTATCGACTGCCAGAGGCAACTATTGAGATTGC